CACTAACAGCATCATCATCAACCTCCTCATCATCATCATCATCATCATCATCGGGACACCATCATCATCATCATCACCATCATCTAATGATCTGTTCAGCATCAAAATCATCAGGATCATCAACATCATCATCATCGGGGCACAAGCATCATCAGCAATAGCATCATCATCATCAATATCATCATCATCGGGCACCATCATCATCACCAACATCACCATCATCATCATCATCAACATCGTCAACATCACCATCATCATTATAGTCATCATCATCATCGGGACACCATCATCATCACCACCATCACCATCACCATCATCATCATCGTCATCATCATCATCATCATCATCATCATCGTCAACATCATCATCAACATCATCATCATCATCATCATCATTATCATCGTCAACATCATCATTATCAGCATCACCATCATCATCCTCATCATCATCATCATCATCATCATCATCATCATCATCATCATCGGGACACCGACGGGACACCAGCGGGACACCGGCGGGACACCGCGCGCCACCGGCCCCCGAGCGGGACACCAGCGGGACACCGCGTGGCACCGGTTGTCGGAAGGGAGACTTTTGGTGCGGCCGCGCCTCAGCTACAGGAGACTTATTTCTCGCCCGCCCACGCAGCTTCGCCTCGCCCGCACGCACGGCACGCACGAAACCGAAACCGATTTCCCGGTAGGGGGGCTCTCCGTTCCACTTCGATCTCACCCCCTCACCTCTGATAACTAGCCTTACGATTTTGTATTTGCTAATTATGGTGTTGTGTCTTCTTTGGGAGGCTCCCAGGCCACTAGAAGCCGTCTTCAGGCCGTCGTGGGGCCTCCTGGATGTAGGTTGGAGACTGTTTTGAGCCATGTTGGGCTTCATTGTGCCATCTTAGGGACCATCTTACTTATCCTCCAAAACATGGATGTGCTATGCCGAGATTCGGCGAGCCTTTCGAGTTACACATCTCCTGATTACCTGGCCTACGTCTCGATGTATATACGATTGCTACGCCAGTGACGAGTTGGCCATCGCGCCACGGAATGCCTCGGGGGCAACGGCGGTCATCGAGGAGGGTCACGGCTGAGGGTGGTGCAGGCCCTCTCAGGTATATAACACATTCCCCCTGGGACTGTTTTTTTGTACATTTAGCCGTCCCTTGGGAGGGCGGTGTCTGACCTCGGCGAAACGCTCGTGCCCGCCTTGTCGGGGTCAACGCGCGCGCGCGCGCCGTCGCACAGAACAGCTGGTCTTCGTTGATGCCCACTCCTGTTGAGGCCCGACGGCGCGAGCCCCCCTGGCGACCCTGGAGAATTTCCAACCACCCTGTGGTGCTGGGTCCTCGTTTCGAAGAGGCAGCGCCCCGCGTTTCTCTCCCACCTCCCGCTGCCCTTTACCGTGCACCTGTCGTTGCCTCTGTTCTCCGTAGGCCATCATCCTCATCATCCTCATCATCATCACCACCACCATCATCAGCATCATCATCATCATCAGCAGCATTAGCATCAGCATCAGCATCAGCATCACCATCAGCATCAGCATCAGCATCAGCATCAGCATCATCAGTATCAGCATGAGCATCAGCATCAGCTTCGTCATCGTCGTCATCGTCATCGTCATCGTCAGCGTCAGCGTCATCACCAACATCAGCATCACAAACATCATCACCACCATCATCATCAGCCTCATTATCATCATCATCAGCAGCAGCAGCAGCACCCTCATCATCATCATCATCATCATCATCATCATCATCATCAAATCATCAGCACCATCATTGGCACCTTCAGCGTCAGCATCAGTGTCATCATACCCATCATCACCACCATTACCACTATCACAATCCGCATCATCATGAGCACCACCATCACAACATCATCACCATCATCATCAGCATCATTATCATCATCACCACCATCCGCACCAGCATCATCCGCATCACTGTCACCAGCACTATCACCATCACCATCGGCATCAACAACCTTAGCATTAACATCAACATCATCATCATCATCATCATCCCCACCCTCGTCAATATCATCGTCGCCATCACCATCGCCAGCATTGTCACCCGATCATCATCATCATCATCATCATCATCATCATCATCATCATCATCATCATCATCATCATCATCATAATCATCATCATCATCATCATCAGACACCGCTGAGCTGGCCTCGCCGCCCCTAGCGCATAGCGCACACTTCCACATTGCGGCAGTGCGCACGATTCCGCGATCCGCTTCCCCTTCGTCGCACCGTCATCTTCGCCGCCTCCGCGGCCAAGCCCAGCAGGCCCAGCGCCGAGGCGATCCCCGATTTCGTTACCGCGACGAGCTACGTGGAGCCGCCTTGCGGCTCCAAGCTCATCACGGATCGGCGTTTCTGTCTTGGGCTATGGTTGGTGTCTTGGCGTTCGTGACCCAACGGCATCTCCGTGGAAGCGACGCGACCCTCATCGTGGCCCCTTCGGACAGGGGCAGCGTGTGGCAACCAGGCTCTGCGGGTTCATGGACACCTGGGCTGACCGTGCACATTGTCAACGATGCGGACGAGGCCCGCAAGGACGGCTTGGGCCTAGCACGGGGCCGAAAATGGCGCAATTGATTGATTTTTCTATGGTTTTGGAAGGTTTGTTGGGGTCGCCAGGCCGAGCGGTCCTGATGCTGCAGGTGTGCTTGGCGGCAGTGAGAGCAGGACGTTTTACCCCTGTGCTTTGGCGACCTCTTCCAGGTCAGGCCTCACCGACACCCCCGCGCAGGTCCACCTCTTTCCCGTCAACGTGGACATGTCCGTCCATCAAGGCAATGCCCCCGCCCTGCTGACAGCCATCAGCGACAAGGTCCAGCTCTTGGGCAGTGAGCAGAAGATGATGCTGCGATCGCTTCTCTTGCTGGGAGTGGTGGCGGTGGCTGCGCAGCAGGGCAGCGCCGGTGAGCTCTGATAACCCCTCGTTCACCCGCCCCACTGGCTGCGTATGGAACTCCCACGGCAACGCCCGCTGACGGTCAGCTCGCCCTGGCAGAACTTAGTCTCAGCACCAGTGTTAGCGCGGGGCGCGAGGGCGACGGGGGCGCGACCGGGAGCTCAGCGCGCCACGGGAAGCACAACGGATCGGAGTTCGTCGCGTTTGACGGCGTACCATGGTTGCAGGCGAAGCAGTTGCTCAGCAGTGGCGACCTCCAGGCCAACGTCGCGGCCATCGAGGAGCCGATGCTCGTCGGCGACCAGCGCGCACAGGCCAGGAAGATGTGCGCGCGCCATGGCTAGCAGCCGTTTCTCTCCGAGGCCAAGCTGTCTGAAGCTGGGTGCCCAATGGGGGGGGCTGGAGTTGCTGCGAGGGCCCGCGTCACTTCCGCCACCTTCGCGGCGGCGCCGGATGGATAATGCTTTGAGGTGGCCCCTGGCAACGCGGCCTGGCCTGCGCGGAGTGCGCCAGGGGGGGCGTCATCGTCGGATCGGTCTACATCAACAATTCAGAGCGCCTCAGCGTGGTCAACGTGCGCAGGCTCATGAAGGTGGATGGGATTGGTCCACCATGCCCTGTCCTCATTGGTGGAGACTGGAATATGCCACCCAAGATCTTGTTCAGCAGCGGTGTTATCCGGCGTGCTCCGTTCGCGCGTATACATAGTGAGAGAGGCGCGTGTACGGCGGAGGCGCGCTCGTACGCGCTGCTCGACTACTGATGGGCCAAGTGCCTCGCCCCGCTGGCATCCAATCCTGGGCCTGTGGATGCGTGGCCTGCGCAGGTGCGCTCGTAAGTGCGCCGCCCCGCGCGCGCACGGCTGCCCGCGCATTCTCGGACCCGCTACGCTCTGCAGGCGAGCCCCCCCTCTCCCCCGCGCGAAGAAGTTCTCAAGGGCCGAGCCCGTGTTGCCGCCGACGCACTTCGAGCGGACGGACGAGCGCCGTGGCCGCAGCCGCGTGGAAGTTTCACGACAGGGTTGGTGACAGGGTCAGCGGGCCCGAAAGGCAGTGGGCGACGCTAGAAGATGTTCGGGGAGACGCGGCGCAGTACGTACGTGCTGCGCGCAGTTTGGCGGGGTGTTGCCTCGCTCTCCGGGCCCGCGTCCTCACCGCGCGCGCTGGCGCTGCGTCTACTCCAGCAGGCGATGTGCGACCTGTGCCCCCCCCCCCCCCCCCTTTAGGTGCTGCTACAAGGTGGCCGCGCCGTGGGCGCCTCGAGGAGCCTGCGTCCCAGGTCCCCGTCTCAGGACCTGACCCCGCCCCGGTCTCCGCCCGTCTCCCATTCTGGCCGGGACTCCGCCCGGGTCCCAGTCTCAGCCGTGGGGCCACGGGGCAGAGTGCGACTACTGCAGCGCTGCTCGCGGCTCGAGCCGGGAATCCGCGCCGTGCCGTCCTGTGGCTCCCCGTCCTGTCTGGCAGGGGCGGGCCCCATGGCGCCCATCGGCTCTCGCGGGCAAGCGGCGGTCGCGTCGGACGAAGGCGAGGGCGGCAGCGCGAGCGAGGACAAGAGCGAAGGCCACCAGCCCAAGAACAAAAACCATAATACGAGTAGTAAGGTGTGCCACGGAGGCGAGAAGGTCAAGCGTCGGCGTGCTAGTGCGGCCATGGACCGCGCAGCCGCCGGCGAGGGCGGCCGCCGGTCCCCGCCGCCGTGCAGCGCCGTGCAGCGAAGGGGTGGGCATCGGACGGGATCGGAGCGGCTTTCGCCAATGCGATGAATGAGATGGTGAGCCCGAGGCGATCGTGCCAAAAAAGAAGTGCGCATCCCTCATGGTAATCCTCCATCCCTCGCCTTCTCCATCTTACCTGGTCAAGGCGTCGTCGCACTTCTGCCTCGTTCTTCTCACGCTGCCCCAGGGTAATCGGGTCATCCCTTGAGCCTGAGCCTCAGGACAGGCTTTCAGTCGCGATGTCTGCGGCCCAATCTCACCAACAGACAGAGAAGCGGCCTAGCTGACCTGACACCATTTTCGCACGCGTGATCTCCCCCAGTGCCGCCCCGAAGAGCACGAGCGAGTTTCCCGCCTCGGATGTGCTTGCTTCCCGTCGTGCCGTATGCCGCCAGGCAAGACAGCGACAGGGCCTCCTTGCCGAGTCTAGACTGCCCCTTGGGTTGAACAGGTATGGTTCTTTTTTTTTCTGCGGTCCCTCTTCTCCGCCAGAGCTGTTCGATCGCCCGCGCAATCCCGAGTCAAATCGGATGCTCTGTCGCCGTTCGTTTCCAGCGCCGGCGCGTACTATGCACTGTATGGGGAGTAAGAGAACCCCATGCGATCTACATCATATCGCCGCAACGCTCTCTCTCTCTCTCTTTCAGTGTTTACCCCCCGCAGTTCTAGTTCCTCTCCTTTCTGATCCGTCCTTTCCTGCCCCTGGGGGGGGCCGCAGGAGCAGCTGGCCGAGACGTGCGCGCGGCTCTCGGGCCGGCAGCAGCTGATGGGCGCTCTGCTCGGCGACCTGCACAACGAGAGGGTCAAGCTGCAGAGGCGCTAGGGGATCTGCTGTTGCAGTCACGACGTGGAGGTGAGGATCCCTTGGGGGTCAGAAGCGGCTCTCGTCCTGGGGCCTTTATTCACGTTAGATTGGGTTTTTTTTTCGTGGCTGAGGTTCGCAGTGGCCAGGAAGGCTCCTTTGTGCCGTAGTCAGCGTTCGTCATGGTAGCACGATGCTTGTGCGAGGCGGGGAAATATCCACTACCGCCACTTGGGGGATGAATCTTAGGGGACCTCGGCAGGCTATGGGCACGGATGCATTCGGCTGGGGGGTCATGTCCATACTGCTGCCAGCGGAGGTCCTTGACAATCGATCCCCCATGCGTTGGTCACGGATAAGTCCCCGCCCTCCGCTGCCCACTTGCCCCACCTCAGCGTGTGCGGACCCGCGGGTCGGCGGGCGGGGGGAAGAGGAGGGGCAGGCTCCGCCGCGAAAGCGAGCTGCGGCCCCCGAGGCCGCGTGGGCTGGTGGAGCTCATCGAACCTCGTTCTTCGCACAACAGACCACGAGCTTCGAGCTTCAGCGCCAGTCCCCGCGCGGGGCCCCTCGAGGGGGCGGCGCGGGGGAGCCGGGACCGACGCTGGTGTGCACGCGCCAGGGTGCGCGCCCCCGAGCTGCAGCGAGGCCGCGAGGGCTCGCCGGTTTCCTCGAGGAGGTCATTGCTTTGGCATGTCGGGGCGCGCAGTTCAACTCAGGACAGCGGCGCATCGAGGATCGAGGTTTTGAGTGCTGCTTTTTGTCTGGGCCTCCGTCCTCCGTCACGGAGCGATCTGGGTAGTTCTCTCATAGTTTGGGACAAGCGGGGGCCCGTTCCGGGCCCCAGGGCTATCAAAAAACGAGTCCAGATGAAGAACCGGAAGGTGTCGAGAGGTCTTGGGGGGCGCCCGCGTCACAAAAGATTCGGGACGTCGGATGTCAGGGAAGGATTGTTTCCCACATCCTTGGAGGGATTTTTTTTGTGGGCACCCCGCCCAGTCCCATCATTACCCGTTGGTCGTTGAAAGTATTTTTTTGTTTAAGTCCCATATTCCAGTCTATTTTAAGCGCCTTCCTATTTCAATGATCGAGTGGCTTCACCTGGTCCGTCCTCTTTAGGGGGCGGGCGTACACCCAATCTATGTTCAACGCCTTCCTACTTCATGTTTCTATCCACTTCTTCCGACAGATGGGTATCATCATTATCATCATCATCATCACCATCATCCTCATCCTCATCCTCATCCTCATCACCATGATGGTGGACAGTGTTCTGACCCACCCCACGGACTTTCATCAGGAGGCGGGAGATGCTCAGCTTGGCTCTCTGGCTTGCCCATCTTCAGCTGGCGCCCAGCCTCTCGGCCTCGGCCCGGCTTCGGCGGGGAACGGTGGGAGGGGCCGCGAGAAACCTGCCAGTAACGAGCGCATTTTATTGCATTGCGAACACATGCAGGCCACACGAAGGCACATGTCGCGCGACGGCTTCCCCCCCCCCCCCCCCCCAGGGGGACCCGACCAGGGCAGGCTCGAAAGCCGGGCTGATTTTCGGGTCAGGGGGTCGCCGCGTGGAAAAGAGAGACGGGTCCGCACGGGCCCAACCACCCACGCAGCCTGCACAGTTCCAAGGGGCTCCTCTGGCTCGTACCTATAAATCCTCGAACCCTGCCCACTGTACACCTCACATCAGTATTCAGCAAACTTATTAACATATGATGGTGGGCAGAGCTTTGATCCACACCACGGAGTTTACAAGGAGGCGGGACATGCTATCCTTAGCTGCCTGGTTTTCTTATTTACAGCTGCCGCCGAGGCTCTTTCCGCCCCTGCTCGCGAGCATGTTTTTCAGGCTTTCAGTGACTCTGACATCTAGAACTTCTAAACGAGACGAGTTGGAAACGAAGCAGTCCTGTATCTCCGGCCATGTCAAAAGCAAGTCCCATTACTTGTCCCGTATTCGCATGTGCCCCAGACTTAGAATGTAGTCGGCAGTCTTTCTGCCCGACGTTCCAATCTGCACAATGCCTTTCAATGTGAGAAACAGCAAGCTGGTCGTACACTCCAATCTGCACAATGCCTTTCAATGTGAGAAGCAGCAAGCTGGTCATGAGATTTTGCTCCCCTTCCTGGCTGATCCCTCTGCCCTCCTCCTCCTCCTCCTCCTTTCTGCCGGCCGCTCCCTTCGAGCCAGACTGGTGTGAGTCTGCCACGCGGCCTGATACCAGCGTGCTTGTGTGTGTGTGTGTGTGTGCCCTGGGTGCCGCCCCGCGCCCCGCCGGGCCGTCCCTCTTCTGCGCTCTCCTGGCTCTGCCTCATCTCGGCGCTCCCCACCGCTGCCGGTGTCGGGGCCCCTCCCCGCGGGCGGTGATCGAGGCCCCGGGCGCTCCTCCTGCCGCCCTGGCCGCTTCCCTCCTGCTTTGGCCGCCCTCGCTCTTCTGAGGGCCCGGGCCCCCCCGCGCTGCCATCGTAGGGCCGGTCCCGCTGGACCGACATCGCGCGCTCGTCGCTCGTCTCGTCTCGTCTCGCTCTGCTCCTCCCGGGCGGTGCCTCCCAGGCCTTCGCCCACAGGTCTCGGCGCTCTGATTCCTCCTTGGGCCGCGCCCTGGTCCACCGCGTCGGGCACCGCCCCCTCGGGTGCCCTTCCTCTGCTCGGTTCCGTGCCGCTCGGCGCCTGCTTCGGCCCCTTCCAGCTCTGTGCCGTCCTGCACCCGCCCTTTTTGCCCGCGGCTCAGCGCCTGCACCTGGGGCTGGTCCGCTTGGCCGTCTCCTTTTCCTTGCACGCACCTCGCAGGCCCGCTGGGCTCGGTGCTTTGGCCCCTTTCCGGACTGAGCTCGGTTCACCGGGTCGGGCTCTGCTTCGATTTCTCTTCACCGCAAGCTGCAGCTCCTGGCTGCCCCCCGTCCAGCTTCAGCTCAGCGCAGTTCAGTGCAGCCTGTGCCAGGGTTGCTCCCCCCTCCCCGGCGCTCCCCCCGCCGCAACTGGCAGGTCTGAGTAGCCCGGCTTCCTCTTTCCCCGTCGCGCCGGGGTTCCTGCTTTTCTTTTCGTGCATTGCGGCCCTCCTTTGCATACAGCGTGTCCTTTGTTGCCTATCCGCCGGAGCAGTCGACTTCTGCCCAGCCGCCGACGCAAAAAGTGTGTGTGTGTGTGTGTGTCCCTCTCTCCTTTCCCTCTTTATCCGAGTCTGGTGATTGCTGTCAGTGCCGCGCCGTATGGCCTCGTCGATCAGCGGAGTTCCGGCCACGCTCGGAGAACAGCCTGTTGTGTGGGATTGCTGTGTCGTCTCGTGCGCGAGTGATTGTCCCTGATGTGCGCGATAGGGATGATAACCCCTTCGAGGGGCAGCTGATTCCTCCTCCTTGTTTTGCCTCATTGCTGGTCCAAACCTGCGTGGGGAATCTCAAGCCCCATCCTCAGTCCTCGAATTTGGAACGCTGCCCCTCACCCGCGTACCCAGTCTGCAGCACATCATGCGTGCAGACTGTCTTCGCAAAACCCGCAGACACGATTGGAGGTTGGATGGGGCGGCGGTGGCGCATGGCGATGGCGATTATTTCCCCGTTGCTTTCCGCAGCAACCTGAGTCAAGAGGGGTGCCAATGTCAGGTCTAGGATCCCAAGGCCCAGTAGATCGCACCCAAGAGACATGTCTTGCGCACGTAGTTTTCTGCTGGAGATCATTGCGAGCCCCCAGACGCATCCTTTCCGACCGCAGGTCTCACTCGGGAGGCAAGGGCGATGACGGTCCTGCGGCAGGGTTGCCTGTCGTCTCCCCGGCACGATTTGCGAGATGGACAGCAAGCGGGCGTGTGCGTTGTCTCCTTCTCGCCTCTTCCTCCCTCTTCTCCAACATAGCGCGGAACAAAGCAAAACAAAAAGACCTCTCCGAGCCCTCGCTCCTTGCCCCCTCCCCCGGCGCAGGCACCAGGCCATGCTCCGCGACCGCATCCAGCGCGTGGAGGCGACGGGCTCCGCCGCGGGCCGTGCCGGCGCAGGCGAGCCCGGGCCCCCCCGGCCTGCCTGGCGGCGCCCCCGCGCTCCAGCGAAGGGCCCCGCGCCCCTCCCGCACTGTGGGGGGGGGCGGCTTCTGGTCGGCGGCGTGCGCCGGGGGAGGGGGGGGGGATGTGAGGGGGGGGGCGTTCGGGTGCAGCCAGCCTGGGAGGTCAGGTTCTGATTTTGCCCTGGCCCGAAGTCCGGCTGGATCCGGCTCAAACCGGCTTCATCCCGCTCAATCCGGCTTAATCCCGCCTTATCCCGCTTAATCCGGCTTAGTCCTGCTTGCTCAGAGGCCCACTCCGGCGTAACAGCTCCCAAATGGGGCTTAATCCTCCTTAATCTCTCCGACAAAAAGCCTCTCAGTAGTTGCCTTCTAAGGGGCGGGCCTTCTCAGAAGGCTCGGAAGCCCCCCGGTCTTCCGAGAAGTTTTCGAGGCCTTCCCCGAAGATGCAGGCAGCTTTTCAGGAGGCCCGAGGGCTCCCGAGAAGCCCCGCCGCTCTCCGAGAGGGTCTTCTCCTTCTCGTTTTTTCCCCGTCGCTCGCCGCCGATTGAGGGGGGATCGGCCCATGGGTCGCCACCCACCAAACCACCCCAACCCAACCCGAAGGCTCAGATTTACCATGGATTTCCAGTGGGGGGGGGGTCGGGAAACATCGACAAAAACGCATGTGGAACCCTTACCCCCCCCCAAGCCGAAATTCGGGTCTTCGGGTTGGGTTGGGGTGGTCTGGTAGGTAGTCAATGGGGGGAAGGGTCTCCAATCGCCCATTCATCGCCGCCTGGGGCTCGACAGCTTGCCCCGCCCAGGAGCGTGCGCATTCGCTGGTATCGGGGGCCCGTGGCCGATCTATCGGCGATGTGTCTCCGATTCCAGATCGATGTCTCCCTCCCTGAGCGGAGCAGACAGCTGAGGACACAGTGGGCCAACCCCCGAGAGGAGGAGGAGAACCCCAGACCTGTGTCGACTGGAGCAGATATACGCTGGAGTTTTGCTGGCGTCGTCGCCCTCGTGGGGCAGTTTTCTTGGCACGGGGCTTTTCGTCCTTCCCCAATATTGAGCTCCACTGCAGCCTTCCCTCTTCCCCCCTCGCCTCCTCCACCTCTCCCCTTCGCCTGCTCCTCCTCCTCCTCCTCCTCCTCCTCCTCCTCCTCCTCCTCCATACTCCCTTTCTTCCTCCACCTTTTCAGCACGAGCGTGCGGCAGAAACGGGAAATTCAGAGCACGGGCGGTAACATCGTCAGGCACTGATGGGGCCAAAGCCCGCCACAGTCGAGCGCTGAACCGCGCCTCCGCGTGCAGCCGCAGGCATTGGCGTGTCGTGTTGTATCCTCGCCCACAGCCAGCCGCTCCTCCCCTGCCCCCTCGTCCTCCTCTTCCTCTCTCCTCCCTCTCCTCCTCCCCCTCCCTCCTCCCTTTCTTTCCATGCTCCACAATCACACAATATGAATACTGCTCTCCCCTGATGACGTCCAGAAGATACCTGGCCCCCCTCCGCGAATTGTTTCTTATACAGGATTCCCGGGAACTGGGTTTTCGCTTGGATGGTTGTTCACAATGCTGCTCCCGCTGACGCACTGACCTCTCTTGTTTGGCGCCTCCGGTTGCTCCAGCTCGTGCTCTCGCTGCAGGGCGGGCGTTTTTCGGTCCCTCCGCATAGGCCCCAGAATCTAAAACACGTACCCCGACAAGAAGCCATCGGAAGTGATCCCACATTCGGCGGCGGCAGGGCGGCGGCGCGGCGGCGTGCGGGCGGCGCGCGGGCGGGGCCCCCGCGGGCTCGGCGAGCGAGCCGCCCGCGCGCGAAGCCCCGCGAGGCGGAGCGGTCCGGGCGATCGCGGCGGTCGGCCGCGCGCCGCCGTGGGCCGCCGGCGCCGCCAGCGCGGGCACCGCCGCGGGCGCCGCCGCGGCGCCGCTGGCGCCCTCAGGCCGTGGGTCAGAGGCAACGGTAGGGCCAAGTCGGGCGTCTCCTCTCCACAGGGGGATCTGCAAGGAAAATAAGGAATACTCAGAGCAAGTGTTCCGAAGTGGTCCAAAAATACTCCAAGAGTGGTCCCCAGAATATTTTTTGACTATTTTTGAATACATCCCCCTGTAGATGGACAGGCCCGACTTCACGGTAGGGGGGGGGACGCATCGACCCCCACTCGCTTTGTCTTCATCGCCGCTGGGGGCCTGATAGCCCACCCCGCCCGGGGCGGGCTATCGACGAGCTATCGGCGATGTATCGCCGATTCCAGGTGGATGTGGTTCTTCCTGAGGTGGCCCTCCCTGTCCTTGCCCCTCATGAGGGGAGGCCCGGTATTCCGAGGCGGAGACGCCCTCAGAACGCGTGGTGCGCGGCGGGGTGGTGACCCCTCGCGCGGGGGGAGCGCCAAGGCCAGTTCTGCCTCGAACTTCTGGCCAGAGCGCACCCCTCGAGAGGTCGCGGGTTCTGTTTTGAGGAGGAGAGAGGTCGGTTGCCGGAGGTGTCCCCTTCTCTCGGTGCCCCTCCATGGGCCAGTGCGCCTGGGGGCGGCGGCGCCGAGGGTGTGGCAGGCGGCCTTCTCGGAGGTGTTCGGTCACGGGGGGGGCGGGGGGCTTTCGAACTGCGGGCCCGCCTGGGGAATCAAGCAGCCGCGCCCCGTCGAGAGCGTCCTGAGGGGGTGTTCGGACTCGTCGCAGGCGCCCTCTCTGTGGACCTACTGACGCCATGGAACCGAGACCTCCAGGAGAGCGCTTATTTGTTCCCATGATGTGATGGGCGTTGCCGCGTTACCGGGGGGGGGGGAAAGGGGGGGTTGGGGGCCGGTAACGTCACATTTCGCGCGGGCGCCGTCTGGTAATCTTTTGGAGTAACCAACCAAAGCCAACTCGGAGGTCGGCAGGACTCATGACGCCACCTGGGGGGTGAGGTGGTCGGCAGGGGCTGGTAACGGCCGTTATCTTAGAAAGAGCGTGTTCTACCGCTGCTGGCGGAAAACCGGGAGGGGTCACCGGGGGTTCCCAATTCCTCCCCCCCTCCCGATCGAACCCCTCCCCCTGGTCCTTCATGAAAAGGGGGCGGGTCACTACCGGTTCGAACCCCCCCCTCCTCGCCGCCGGCAAACGACACCCCCTCCTCTCCCAGTCTGGATGGGGGACTTGTGGGGACAGTGGTTGGGACGGTGGTGGGGACGGTGGTGGGGAGTGGGGACAGTGGGAAGAGGTGGTGACGACAGTGGTGGGGACAGTGGGGACAGTAGGACAGTGGTGGGGCACTGGTGGGGACAGTGGGGACAGTGGTGGGGACAGTGGTGGGAAGAGTGGGGACAGTGGGACAGTGGTGGGGACAGTGGAGACAGTGGGACAGTGGTGGAGGTGGTGGTGGTGTGGACAGTGGCGAGGGGACAGTGGGACAGTGGTTGGGACGGCAGCGATCGTGACTGTGGTGAGGGCGGTATTGATGACGGTGGTAGTACAACGGGACAGTGGTACAGTGGGTAGAGTGGTGGGGACTGGGGACCATGGGACAGTGGTGGGGACAGCGGGGACAGTGGGACAGCCTGACAGCAGTGGGACAGCGGTAGGGACAGTGGGGACAGTGGGACAGTGGTTAGGACAGTGGGGACAGTGGGCAGAGTGGGATTGTGGTGGGGACAGTGGGGACAGTGGGGAGAGTGGTGGGTAGCTCAGCCCCCACCCCTGCTGGGTGGTCTTGCAGCCGACGGACGCGCACGGGTCCCAGCCTTTGAGCCACGACTTCCGACGAGTTGGTGAGTGTCGGGGAGTCCAGAACGAGTGGCGAAGCTAGCTAACCTTGATTTCAACGCCATGCGCGAGCGTTGTCCGAAACTTCGGAACCAGAGATCAAGCTTAGTGACAATTTGGCTGCCAGGACAATATCGCCTCTGCTTCGCACGAGTGTTTGAAGCAATTTCGACTAGGTCGCCGCGATCCTCCCATCTGTCGCAGCCGTAGCCGTTTCAGCGAGTGGTTATATATATATATATATACACATATATACACATATATGTGTACATGTAAATACATGTTCTTCGCCGCTAATCAGCCGCGCGCGCAAGGGGGTAGGGAGAGGGGGAAGGCTTCTTAGAAGCACCCTACTTCTTAGACGGAACGGGACATGTCTGTAGATGTAGGGCCGGCACCTTCTAAGAAGCAGCCTCCTTCTACGAAGCCTTCTTCCCTTCCCCTTACCCCCGTGTGAGCGCCCCCAGGCTAATCAGACTCCGCTTAAGACAGACACCTGGCCCCTCCCTGGCCAGTGCTTCGAGCTCGGCCCGCGCCGAGGCCACGAGAGAACTCTGCCAGGAGGCCCAGCGCATCACCACAAGATCCCAACGAGGGCTCGAGCTGAAAGGTGGCTTGGCGATTTCGTGGACTGTTCTCGTTTTGATCTGGTCTTGCAGCCAAGGCTGAACGTAGAGAGAACGATTGAAAACGACGGCGACACGAAAACGGCACACACGGTTCAGGTCGAGCCCCGATCCCGAGGTGCATCTCCGGATCCCTGCGTGCGAGCCCTCCGGGAGGCTCACCGTGCCTCGCCTCGAGATCCCGGAGAGGCCGAGCGGGGGCCCTCCCGAGGCCTCCTCGCGCGCGCCCGATGGCAGGAGACCGGGTGCCCGTGGCCTCGGACCTGTCGGACACCACCTACGGCACGACCGCGGGTTCGCCGCGCCCGCGTGCCGCGCCGCGGGGGCGAAGGGGGGGGGAGGGCGGCCTGCGGAGGGACGACGGCATGCCGACGACGGCGACGGCGTGGCCGACGGCCACGGCGACGGCGAGGCCAACGGCGGCGTGGGCGGCGGCTGCAGAGGTTGCCGACCGCGACAGTGCGCTCTTCCGGTTTGCTCGCGCGAGGTCTGGGGGTGACCTCAGAGACCGGAGCGCGGGCATCCCGGATACCCCCCTCTGCTCCATGTTTCCTCCTACCCCCATCTTCATCATCCTGCTCCCCTTGCTCGTTCCTGTGGTGTGCTCACAGGCGCGTCGTGATGATCGCAAGCTGCTGAGGTGCTCCCAGCCACAGTGCAGCGCTCGCACGCCGTTGTAGTACCCATTGAGTCCATCATCCTGCTGCGCGTAGTTTGGCTATCGTTGTGGCGTCGCGTGCTGTGGCGGTACGTACTCGCAAGTTGCTCTGTTCGCGTGCTGTGGAGAGTCGGTCTCGGGAAGGAGGGGGACTGGCAGGAAGTGCCGACGACCGCCGCCTCTTTCCCCAGTCTCCCGCTGTGGCGCTAAGGGCCGCTGCGTTTTTCTGCCATCCTCTCGGCCCGCGTGCCCACCCATTGGGAGCTCTTCAGACAGATCTGGTCTTTCTTTCCCTGGCTGGCCATTGTGAGAATCCGTTTATCCCCACGCACTGTGTCGTCCTCTTGGCTCATTTGCCATCGGGGGGCTCTTCAGACAGATGTGGTCCTTCCTGCCCTGGCTGGCCATCATCAGCGTCCGTTTTTCCTTTGTCTCTCTCTCTCTCCCTTTCTCTCTCTCTCTCTCCCTTTCTCTGTCTGTCTCCTTTCGCTCGGCTGCTCTCACACTTGATCCATCAATGCTGTTCCGTAGCCGTTGGGCTCAAGGCTTGCTGGCTTGTCCTTCCGGGAGCGAGACTACTGCCCAACCGAGTGCCAGGGAGCATGGCGCATTCAATCGGCAGGCATGACTCAGCATGCGCAAGGCTGCGGTGACGCCTTGGCTGCAGTCTCGCGGGATGGCGACCCTCCATGTGCATCCGCGCATGCGGTAAGAATGCGCCTGAAGGCTTCGCGCATTGGCAGGTGTGTGTTGATGTCAACGCGACCCATCAGACTATGCCGGAAGTGGGGTCGAAGATGCGGCGTATGGGTTCATGCCTTGATATACGTAGCGTGTGTCGGTCTTGCACTATGGTTAGCCTCTGCGGGCTTGCCCTTCACTGCCTCTTTCGTGATGTATAGCAGTGGCCTACCTTTCGGAATATCTTTGACGGCACTTGCCAGCAGTAGCACGTTGCCGCCCTTCGCAGGCTTTTCTGACAGCAAGGGTCAAATGAATGAGCAGAGCGCTAGCAGAGACATCGATCTTGTTGAACGGCAGAGCGCTGGCATGCCAGCTCCGAAGGGCCTGACCAGCCAGCGCGAGCAGCCAACTAATCGAAGCTACTCGTGGAAGGAGCGCACAGGTCTGGGCGAACATGACCTCGATAATCGTACTTCACAAAATGTCTCCAGTCAGATCTGGAAGCCAAGTCAGGCGTCGAATGCTGCCTGGCAGAGTCGAGACGGCAGTCCAGTCGTTACAACGAGCAAGTCATCGCATGACTCACTTGCGTCGCCATTGAGAAATCAGACGTGTGCCAAGCCAGCAGCAGCATTTTGTTTTTTTGGTTATCCGCGAAGCTTTTTGCTGCCTGCTGTACACATGTCCATTCGCCGAAACTTAGTGGACGCGTTTGGGGCACCGCGTAGTGACGTATTTTGGCTTTTCAAGCTTGCTTATGACGGTGCGGATTACGGAAACTCAGGGCGTAATGGCCATTCGTTCTATACGCCTTCTGACCAGAAAGAGTTACATGCAGCGGAACTAGAACTCAATCCAGTGCGTATCAGATATGTTACCAGTGAATTTGACAACAGCCACGGTCGACGATCTTGTCGCCCAAGCTTGTGGCAGCAGCAGCTAGCAAAATCTGCCTGCTTCAGGTTGATTGTGGAAGAGGAGGCCAGATCATCGTGCGCTTATGATTATCCAGCTGCCTACGGCAATTTCCCTCACCCCCATAGTGCAGCAGTGCAGTTGGCTGGAGGTTGACTTCAAGATCCGTTCCAATTCAGTGCTCTGTTTGAACTGGCGCGTGTCTTAGCCACACCCTGCTTGTCCGCAGCCTCGATCTCCGCCTCTTCCTTCATCTTGACTGCTACTCGGGGGCTTATTCGGGGCCTGGTGGGCGCCTCTTGGGGGCCTCTGACTCGTTGGGGGGTCCGCCGTAGTTTCGAAGCTGTTCTGGACGCGATGGTTCTACGGCGTAATCCTGAAGAGGCTCTGCAGCCTGGGTATCTTCTGTCCGGCCTTGGGGCCGTCCTGGAGCCCCGCTGGGGACGGCCTGCTGCCCTGGGTGTCTCCGGGAACTCTTGGGGCCCCGTTGGCCTGCCATCCGCCCTCTCGCAGGCAACCCGGGGCTCGGGAGCGGGGTCAAAGAAGCTTTCTCTGGTTGTGGCGGGGGTGCGTTGCGGTGGAACGTCCTCTTCTGAATAATGAAGTCCACTCAGCCCCCAACACCTGCTGGCATTGTTGTCTTCGATTCTGGCAGCATCAACAAATCTTGCGTGGAGCCTGGGTGGAAATCTGTGTGGCAGGTAGGGGAGGAACTCAACACGTGTCACTTGGACCCCCTGCTCGAACCTTTGATTTGAACAAGGGGATAAGGACCACATGTTCGAGTACACCCATGCGACAGCCCTGTGGCATACACCTTTTAGACCTGTGTGGAAACCTTGGCAAACAATGCGGCATCCACATATCTTGCACGAAGACCGCGTGAGAATTCGTCTGGCAGGCATGGGGGATTCCACGTCTCAGTCGGGACACCCCTGCGTGAACCCCCGCGCCCGAGCATCACCGTAGCAGGCTGATGGGCCAACGGGCGGCATGGGCGGACGGGGCGCACGGACCCTCACGAGCGGGCGGGCGGGTGGACCTGACTGGCGGGACGGGTGGGGTCGAGCGGACCCGTGGACCCGGGCTCGCGGCCAGTGTCTGTCGCTTGGCCCCCATGCAGGGCCTTTGGCTCAGCGCCCAGCTTTTGGCCTCGGGGTCTGGGCTCGAGGCTGGCGTCCACTGGCTAACGTGGCACACCCCGGATCGCGGCCCAGAGGGAGCCTGGCATTTACGTTGCTTCCAAAGTAAACCGTTGTTCGAACGGTTTTCTTGTATACGTGGGAACACGCCCCGGGATCCTTGGGGTTCTCTGAAGCTTGCTCGGAGCGCCCCAAGCCGCACAGCACTGGATGAACAAAACTTTTGGTCTACAAGTCGTATTTTCTGTTCAGTTTTGTTTTTTTTGTTGTCGGGCCTCTCTCCAGGGTTTCTGTTTTGGGCTTCTATTCGGGGCCTCTGTGAGCATCTTGGAGCCTTTGAGCGCTCGTTAGGCCGTGCTTCGATGGCCATGACGGGTCTCGCAGCCGTCTGGGGGAGCAGAGAACCGGGGGGCAGTCCTAGGGTGGTTGGATCTCCCGCACATGCGCGCAATGCGGTGGAGGTGGCAGTGGATCATTACGGAAATTGAGCCAGACGATTGGCAACCATTAAACACTCCACAAACGCGCAAGCGCGGCGGCGGATGTCTTTGTTTCAAGACCAGATATGGCCTGGATAAGGAGATTTCCAAGTTGGGAGTATTTTCAAAAGGAGAGATGGACAGGTGCAACCATTGTGCGAGATTGGTTCCACATGATACCCCGCAATTATGCCGAGGGCGTCTTTCCTGCCTCTGATTCGTGTGGATTTTCGCGCGAGGCTTCAGGGGAAACATTCATGGCTTCACGATACCTAGATCGTGGGATAGACGTCCGGTTTCAATGTATTCGCACTCCCGTGACTCGGACGTATCGGGTTTCAGCCGGTCATGGGAAGATCAATGCATGTGCCCACGACATGTCTGCGTCGTGGGTGCTGAGCAATCGAAACCGTCGTTGGCAGACGTGGGCATGTCTACAGCCTTGCGTGATTGTTCGTTTGTCTTTTGATCCAGTTGCGCTGCCGCGCGAATCCGCCACCGCGCTTGGGGGCGTGTGGGCTCAGGGGCACGAGGGGTCGATGTCAGGGCTCGGGGGGACCAGAGGAGGTGGCTTGTATACGTAAGTGGTTTGTGTTTGTTCTGCGAAAAAGATGAGACCCGGGAACTTGGTCTAACAAGTGAACGGCTGCTATTCTCAATGCGCCGGGGTGCCCTATTTATTCGTTGGTTAACGGGCAGCGAAGCGAATCAATCAGTCAAGGTCCCGACACATTGCGCAGCAAGCGAGGTGGCGGATAGGGCGCAGCAGCGGTTCTATACACCAGGTGAATGGGGATGCGCGGGCCAACTTGGGTGTGATGATATAGCTTTGTTGACTCCGAATGCCTCACGTGCGCGTGTCGAAGAATGGCATTCAAACCCAATGTGCGACGGGCCCTGCCACAATGGAGTAGTTTCGGGCAAGTTAGGTTCACCACTCGCTTTGCAACAGTGCGAAACTTCTCTCAGAGGAAAACGTATCATCCAGTACGGATGGGAGGATGGGGCACCACGGAGGTTTCATTTGAAATGCATTCGATGTGTGGAACCGTGTTTTAAACGGGGACCAATGTGAGCGTCGATTACGGACGAATCTACCGCATGCGTTGCCAGAAGTAAGGGGGACCTTGTGCTTTTGGTTTGTTCCTGAGTCCACGTCTCTGGTCTGGTCCTTGCCCTGGGTAAGTTCTTGCGCAGACGTTTGGCAGCCCTCGAACAATTGACCGTTGTGCTCGCAGGACGTAGGAGGGTACAATCAGGGGGATGAGGAGAATGTGGACGAGCACGAAGTCTGGAGGGGGTTAGCAGGAGCACCGGGTCCGCGGGCCTGCAGACAGGCGATGGGAGCCTCTCTGCAGGCCGCAGCAGCCCGTCAGCCCCACCGGGCGGGAGAGCCTCAGCAGAGCCCCGACGATCCAGAACACGCCCTGCAGGAGTGTGGCCTTCGCTGCAACGTGGCCTGCCTGGGTGCTGCCCCATGCCCGGGCGGTCCCCAGGATTCTGCGCGGAGGCACTCGCGGCCTCCAGAGCAGCTCTCGCGAGCCCCTGGGGGGGGGGGGAGCCCAGAGAGCTGCGGACGCTTGGGGCCAGGAGCGCCCGCGGCAACCTTCAATGCGTCCCGCACGTGAACGGCGCTGCCGTCTTTTTGGCATCTCCTGTGCAGGATTTTGCTTCTGTTCGTTTCCCTCTCCTCCACGCCCTGACGAGACTCGTGGGGCCGTCCTGGGGCTCTCTTGGGGCTGGTCCCAGCCCGTCCGTGGGCTTCGTCCGGGGATTCTCTGGGCCCATACAAACCGCACGGCGTCGGATTAGGCTGGTCAGACCAAGAGGGCTGTGATTCACGAGCCTCCATGCGTACTTTGTCGCTTCCCTTCCTCTCATCTTGTCGTAATGTACAATATTGGGTCAAGGAGGGGCCGCTTGCCTCGTTCCTGGTCTGCGCAACGGATGCATGCAATAGGGAATGTGCCAAGTTGCAACTTCCCCCCCGCATGCTGGAATCCTAAGTGCTTGTTGCTCCTTTTCCATCCGCGTCGCATTCCTTCTCCTCCCGTACATCCACCACTCCACATGCACGACACATGCACATGCACATCCACATCCACATCCACATGCGCACACACACAAACATACACACAAGCACACACACACACGCACCATACACACGCGCACCACACACACACCCATACACGTCAACCAAGACATACACGCACATACCAACTTTTCTTACTCGTACACATATCCATGCACATTCAAAAGTACACACACACACACCGTCCAGGGCGCCCTGGGCGTGGCAGGGATGGCCTTTCCTCGCCCCAGAATGGGTTCGCACGGTGTGCGGTGTCTAGGCGTTTCACCGTCCAGGGCGGGGCGGGGATGGAATTTCTTCGCCACAAGCGGTGGTGCGCATGGAATATGCGTTTCGTCATCCAGGGCGTGGCAGGTGTGGCACTTTCTCGCCACCAGAGGGTGTGTGTGTGTAGGGGATGCGGTTTTTTCCCATGTCACCGTCAATGGCGCGGCAGGGGTTGCACTGCCGCACCGCCAGAAGGGGATGCGAACGGGGTGCGGGCTCTATGCATTTCACCGTCCAAGTGCGTGGCAAGGGTCGGCATTGCCTCGCCACCATAGGGAATGCGCACGGGGTGCGGCTTCTACGCGTTTCACCGTCCAAGGCGTGCCAAGGGTTGACAGTTCCTCGCCACCAGAGGGGGTTGCACGGGATGCGGCCTCTATGCGTCTCACCGTCCATGTACGTGGCAAGGGTTGGCATTGCCTCGCCACCATGACCATAGGGGATGCGCACGGGGTGCGGCTTCTACGCGTTTTTACAATCCAAGACGTGCCAAGGGTTGACAGTTTCTCGCCACTAGGCGGGGTTGCACGGGGTGCTGCCTCTATGCGTTTCACCTTCCATGTGCGTGGCAAGGGTTTGCATTGCCTCGCCACCAGAGGGGTTGCAGTCGGGATGCTTCACCGTCATCGCGCGGCAGGGGTTGCTTCGCCACCAGAGAGAGTGTGTAGTGGTTGCGTTCTCCGTCCGCCTCACCGTCCAGGATGTGGTAGGAGTGGCATTTCCAGGGGTGGTTTTTCCTCAGGACCAGGGGGCGCGCGCAGGGGGTGCGACGACGGGGGCAGCAGGAGGGAGAGGGAACGGGATGGAAACGGCGAGGAGGACCACTCGGAGAGGGGCGGGGAAGCGGACCACGTGGATGCGGACTACAACAATTTGGTCCGACTTGGAAGTCTGGGCCCGAACGTTCTCGTCGACCGAGCCAACGAGTTGCCCGAGCCGCCCGCCGATGTCCCCCCGCCCCGCGCGCGAGCGCGATGCCGCGTGCGCGGCAGGGGGCGCGTCGTCGTCCACATCACAGCCAGTGGTGAGCTGCGAACAAGGCCCGCGGGGTCGGAGGCAGGAGTCGGGGGCTCAAGAATGGGGCCTCGGGGGCGGGGGCCCCACGCCCTTCCCATGCCTGCGCGAGGCTTCTCGTCGCAGCGGCAGGGTTCCCCTCAAAAGTCTGGTTACACCGCACCCCATGAGGGGTCACGGGGTCTGTTTTTGCGGGTTGCCATGGTGAGACATATGGAACACGATCTTTCAAGCTCTCTGGCCATGTCCTTGGGATGGTAACATGCTATATGTAGTTCCTGTTTTCCTGTCGTGCGGGATGATGTGTTCCTTCTGTTCTTTTCCCAGGGTCCTGGATGTTTTCTTGCCGGTATTGCTGCTTTCCTCAACGTGTGATGAAAGTTGGTCCCTGAGGAAACCCCAGGGTCCAGGATCCCTTTCCCCCAGAACCCTTTGCTTGATGCTAAGAGGTTGCACCAGGGAACGCGGAGGGGGGAGGCGGCAGGCAGGGGGGGTCATCACGGGCAGGGAAGGTGCCTCTTGGCTCCAGGCCGCCCAAGTGGGGATGGAGGAGATGGGGATGCTCGGTCCGCATCCGATGCGTCGGCGATGCGGCGCGACCCGCAGCACGATTTTTCGCATCACGACGCGGCCGACGCATTGCCCATGTATCGGTGACGCGGTGCGATCTTACGACCACATCCAATCGGCTCCATTCTGGCGGCCTGCATGGGTTGCGCTCCAGACCTGCTTGGGGCCCTCTTGAGCGGTCATGGACCCGTCTTCCTCCTCCCTCCTCCCCCCCCGAGGGGGGGTATATAGCAAGCCAGCTTGGCGCCCTGCCTGAGTTCCCTGTGCTCCTTTGCAAGCGCACCCTCTACCTGTGTGGGGGTTGGGGCAAGCCACGAAGAGCCGTGCAGTGCGAGGCACAGAACTGGTAGTGGAGCGAGGAGGAGGACCAGAGTCAACCCAGGATGGGTGAACAATGCCGCAATGCGCACTCCCGTCCCAAGTCCACTCCGTAACAGTCGCTACAAGTATTCGTCTCCATTGCGGGGAGAGCGCCCCCAAGAAAACGAATAGAGGTATGATGGCACTGTCCATGACGTGCCCAGCCATAGCTCCGTTCTGATTGTGGATGCCATGACAACGGACACTCTAACTTACCATTGATTTAAACATGTGTTTACGATGTGTAAAACATGCCCTAGAACTGTTTCAAACGTGTTTGTGACAGATTTCAACCATGTGTGAAGCATGTTGGCCCTTGGCATCGCTCGGGCGTGTGCATTTTTCTCGGCGAGGACCAACGAAGAGCACCCTGGATCATCGAGCAAGAAGAACACGCACAAAACCGTACAACGCACTGGGAATGGACGTCCGAGCGACGGCAAGAGCCCGCCTCTATCCTTGTAGCTGTTTAACGCTTTTCGGTGCGACCGTGCGCGGCGCTAAGGCGCGCCAGCCCCGTTTTGAAAACGGCCAGCCCTCCATCGTCGTGATGGTTGTAAGCTTCTGGGTCGACTGAGCGCGGCGTTCAGGCGCGAAACCCATTTTGAGATCGACCAGCCTTCATTTTTGCAACTACAAGCTCTGACTACGATTGTGCGTGGCGCTGATACAGGGGCCTTCTATTGAAGACTGTAGGCCGTCCATCCGTATGGCCGTTAGAGTGTACACATCTTCGTGGTAGTAAGCTGGCAGGATCTCGTAAGCCGTCCGGCCCAGCCTACGCCTGCTGGTGCGACAGGAGGGAGGTTATTTGTAAGGAAGAAGGATTGAAAAGAAGGGAGGATGACACCAGGGCTTGACCCAGACCCGTCCGTGGCTCCAGCTCCAGAAGGAGTTTGTGGAGGGAGGAGTAGGAGGAGGGACGAAGGGGAATAGGCGGAGGAGGAGGAGGATCTCGAGTGTTACCGAGGAGACCCGAATGCGCCAGATCTTTTTCAATTGTTTGGTAGCCTTCGGAGAAGGAGGAGGAGAGGGAGGGGGAAGGAACACACACACACACACATCGTGAGCTTGGGAGGGGAAAGGGGAGACGGGGGTATGGGTGGAGGCAGGTGGAGTGAGGGGGCGGGCGAAGTCGAGGACAAAGGCGACCGGGTTGAAGGGCTAATACAGGCTGACAGGAGACCAGAGCGGGGAGTTGTAGGGAGAGGGGGAGTCGGAGTTGGAGTCGCAAGCCTTGGCAGCAGTCAGTCCCCTCCTCCACGCGACACGGGACTCGGCTCGCCTCAATATCGAGTTGGTGGATGTTGGCGATAGTAGCTGCATTACCGTGGACAGCCTGCAGGACCCTTGGTTTGTTGACCCTATGGTATGGGACAGCGTCAGCTCGATGCCAAGCTTCTGACGAAAAAACACGTAGTGGAACGGAGGGAGGTTATGGCTCTCAGGCCCATCACTCCCTACTCTTGGGAAGCCGTAGTATCTAAAGGCTGCCGCCTCTGCCGCCGACCCCAGATCGGGGCGATGCGTGTAGGTTTGAGCTGCTCTGGTGTTCAGAGCTTGCTTGGCGTCGCCGAGGCCGCCATTGCTGTTGCGGTTGCTCTCGCCACGGGTTGTGCAAGATGTCAGAGGCCTCAGGGGGGCTGGGAATGTCAGACGCGGTGGGGGCGCGGTAAGGGGTTCCGGCGAGGATTTTGCAGGGTGGGTGAAAGCTATGCCCAGACGCCTCAGGGGGGCTGGGAGTGTCAGACGCGGCGGGGGCGCAGTGAGGGGTCCCGGCGAGGATTTTGCAGGGTAGGTGGCTCCTAGATACCTATGGCCAGAGATGTCAGGGGGGCTGGGAATGTCAGACGCGGCGGGGGCGCGGTGGAGCCCGGCGAGCATTTCGCAGGGTCGGAGAAACCTATGCCGAGAGGCTTCAGGGGGGCTGGGAATGTCAGACGCGGTGGGGGCGCGGTGGGGGGTCCCGGCGAGGATTTTGCAGGGTGGGTGGCTCCTAGAAATCTAAGCTCAGAGGCCTCAGGGGGCTGGGAATGTCAGACGCGGTGGGGCGCGGTGGGGGGTCCCGGCGAGGATTTTGCAGGGTGGGTGGCTCCTAAAAACCTATGCCCAGAGGCCTCAGGGGGGCTGGGAATGTCAGACGCGGTGGGGGCGCGGTGGGGGGTCCCGGCGAGGATTTTGCAGGGTGGGTGGCTCCTAGAAACCTATGCCCAGAGGCCTCAGGGGGGCTGGGAATGTCAGACGCGGTGGGGGCGCGGTGGGGCGTCCCGGCGAGGATTTGGCAGGGTGGGTGATAGCTGTGCCCAGATGCCTCAGGGGGGCTGGGTCAGACGCGGCGGGGGCGCGGTGGGGGGTCCCGGCGAGGATTTTGCAGGGTGGGTGGCTCCTAGAAACCTATGCCCAGATGCTTCGGAGGGGCTGGGAATGTCAGACGCGGTGGGAGCGCGGTGGGGGGTCCCGGCGAGGATTTTGCAGGGTGGGTGGCTCCTAGAAACCTATGGACAGAGGCCTCAGGGAGCTGAGAATGTCAGACGCGGCGGGGGCGCGGTGGGGGGTCCCGGCGAGGATTTTGCAGGGTGGGTGGCTCCTAAAAACCTATGCCCAGAGACTTCAGGGGGGCTGGGAATGTCACACGCGGTGGGGGGTCCCGGCGAGGATTTTGCAGGGTGGGTGGCTCCTAGAAACCTATGCCCAGAGGCCTCAGGAGGGCTGGGAATGTCAGACGCGGTGTCCCGGCGAGGATGTTGCAGGGTGGGTGGCTCCTAGAAACCTATGCCCAGAGGCTTCAGGGGGGCTGGGAATGTCAGACGCGGTGGGGGCGCGGTGAGGGGTCCCGGCGAGGATTTTGCAGGGTGGGTGGCTCCTAGAAACGTATGCCCAGAGGCCTCAGGGGGGCTGGGAATGTCAGACGCGGTGGGGGCGCGGTAGGGGGTTCCGGCGAGGATTTTGCAGGGTGGGTGAAAGCTATGCCCAGAGGCCTCAGGGGGGCTGGGGGTGTCAGACGCGGTGGCGCGCGGGGGGTCCCGGCGAGGATTGCAGGGTAGGTGGCTCCTAGAACCTATGGCCGGAGACGTCAGGGGGGCTGGGAATGTCAGACGCGGTGGGGGCGCGGTGGGGCTCCCAGCGAGGATTTTGCATGGTGGGAGAAACCTATGCCCAGAGGCTTCAGGGGGGCTGGGAATGTCAGACGCGGTGGGGGCGCGGTGGGGGGTCCCGGCGAGGATTTGCAGTGTAGGTGGCTCCTAGAAACCTATAGCCAGAGGCCTCAGGGGGGCTGGGAATGTCAGACGCGGTGGGGGCGCGGTGGGGGGTCCCGGCGAGGATTTTGCAGGGTGGGTGGCTCCTAGAAACCTATGCCCAGAGGCCTCAGGGGGGCTGGGAATGTCAGACGCGGTGGGGGCGCGGTGGGGGGTCCCGGCGAGGATTTTGCAGGGTGGGTGGTTCCTAGAAACCTATGCCCAGAGTCCTCAGGGGGGCTGGGAATGTCAGACGCGGTGGGGGCGCGGTGGGGCGTCCCGGCGAGGATTTGGCAGGGTGGGTGGCTCCTAGAAACCTATGCCCAGAAGCCTCAGGGGGGCTGGGAATGTCAGACGCGGTGATGGCGCGGTGCGGGGTACCGACGAGGATTTTGCAGGTTGGGTGGCTCCTGAAACCTATGCCCAGGGACTTCAGGGGGGCTGGAATGTCAGTCGCGGTGGCGGCGCGGTGGGAGGTCCCGGCGAGGATTTTGCAGGGTGGGTGGCTCCTAGAAACCTATGCCCAGAGGCTTCAGAAGGCTGGGAATGTCACACGCGGTGGGGGCGCGGTGGGGGGTCCCGGCGAGGATTTTGCAGGGTGGGTGGCTCTCTCAAAAACCTACGCCCAGAGGCCTCAGGGGGGCTGGGAATGTCAGACGCGGTGGGGGCGCGGTGGGGGTGCCGGCGAGGATTTTGCAGGGTGGGTCTCCTAGAAACCTATGACGAAAGGCCTCAGGGGGGGTGGGAATGTCAGACGCGGTGTCCCGGCGAAGATTTTTCAGGGTGAGTGGCTCCTAGAAACCTATGCCCAGAGGCTTCAGGGGGGCTGGGAATGTCAGACGCGGTGGGGGCGCGGTGGGGGGTC